AAAAAAAAGAAAGAATGGAAGGGGACTATTATTAAGTAAAAGATTTAAGAGGTATAATATTCACATTCAATATATGGTCCCCAACTAGGTACTACTTTGAATAAAACACAAGAGACATTTTGGGACAAACAAGGAAATTTGAATATAAACTATATATGAATGATAATACTTTGATTATGTAGAAAAATGTTCTGTTTTAGAGATGCATTCTGAAGTATTCAGTAGTGATAACATATACTTAAATTTAAAATGTTTGAAACTTTTTAGTCAGAAAAAGTTTGCTTGTCATTTGGTCCTCCTATATAACAGTAAAGCAAAGAAATGCTTTTTCACAATAAACATTTTTTAAAATGTTCCCAACATTAAAGAGAAACATGAATTTACCAGAAAAATTAAGTCTAATAAATTTCACCACAATGACCACACACTAAAAACAAATATGGAATGCATTTGTAATCTAATGAGGTGTTAGCTTTATCTGGAACCACATTTTGGAATTATACTAACTAAAAAAAATACAAGAGAGGGACCAAAATAATGAATTGGGGGGAAAAAAAAGATGGGCAGGACGGAACTTACCTTTTTTGATATCATTCCAGCCCCAGCACTGCGTTTTAAATCTCGGACTATGCTGCATTCCATCACAATAAATTCCTCTAGCTGTTTGGGATGGCATAAACTATTGAAAGGGTTACTCCAGAAAGTGCTTCCATCAATATCTGCAACTAAGTATAAACACAGAACATCAAAGAACAACAGAAATGAAGTATTTCAAATGTGTTAATTAGGAAGAAGTTGATATATATGAACTGAGAAGCATGAGGTCAACAGAACCACAGTGGCAACTTTCTAGAGTCATCATTTACTCCTATAAATCAGCCCCAAACTTTTCACAACACAAGAGAAATTTCAGGTGTCAGTTATATCTTAAGTAGTTACTATCATCAGAATCCCACAGAGGTAAGTGCCTTTAAAATAAGATCAGATCCATTCAGTTGTATAGTTGTTCCATGTGCTGGCATGTTAGAAATGTTATCAATCATCTTAGCTGCTTAATTTATGGTAAGTAAAGTCCTACCTGACAGATGTTCATCCCAATACTGCAAACATACCTTTGACTTATGAATCTAATTGACAAGGGTAATAAAGGACTCTAAAAACTATAAACTCTATTTTTATAACAGAAAACTACATTATAGGAAATACATGAAAAAGATCAAGAAGTAGAAGATGAAAGCAAGTACTGAGACACCTATCAATGTGAGATCTTTAAAAATTAGTTTTTATAAAAGGAATGTTAAAAATTATGTGTGATAATAAGAATTAGTTAAAATCCATATTTAAACTAAATGTTTTACTGCACTGCAAGAAGTCAAATATTCCAAACTTTGAAATATTTGCTAAACATGAAACTTGGCAATGAACCCAAATATTCACAAAAACTAAATGACAGGGGCGCCTGGGTGGCGCAGTCGGTTAAGCGTCCGACTTCAGCCAGGTCACGATCTCGCGGTCCGTGAGTTCGAGCCCCGCGTCGGGCTCTGGGCTGATGGCTCAGAGCCTGGAGCCTGTTTCCGATTCTGTGTCTCCCTCTCTCTCTGCCCCTCCCCCGTTCATGCTCTGTCTCTCTCTGTCCCAAAAATAAATAAACGTTGAAAAAAAAATTTAAAAAAAAAAAAAAAAAAAAAAAAAAACTAAATGACATAAATAAGTCAATTTCAGTAAAAATATATGAACTAGAACTAGTAAATTTTTTTAAAGTTCACAGATTTATTTCTTCAAATAAAAAACATAAGGGTTACTAATCAAAAGCAGTGTTTTGTAAGAACTAAATAGCAGTAAAACTCTTATCTAGTTTTTCGTAACAAAAATTAATGAGAATGTTTGATAAAATTACTAACATAAGTTATTACTGCTTGCTGGACAAAACTGTCAAGGCAAATATTTCCTAAAACTCACCTTGAAGGGTATTTGGATCTATGAGATGGATGGCGCTGGTTACTCGAATACACACACAAATCTGGTTCATATTTCCCAGGCTTTGTGCCAGTCTTGGAGACAGACAAACAACATTATCCTAGGCATAAGAACTAACATTTAGAGTGAAGCAAATCCTAAATAACTGTCTTCAGTAAACACTCATCAATATAAGCCTGACCCAGGTGTATATGCCCAAACCAAAATGTGATTTTTAATTCTATTTATCAACAACGGGCCTAAAGAAAAGAATCAAATCTTAGAGAAACAAAAAATAAGCTCTTCCTTCTTAAGATGGGAACATCAATTGTAATAAACATGCTTTAAAAGTATTTTTCCAGATCTTATTCACCAAGCTATTAAGTTTATTTCAATTTTACTGAAGTGTGAATGCTTACTGCTCTATGGTAGTACAGTGTGAATTCTAAAGTATTATAAACATCAGAAGGAGAGTGATTTTCTAAATCTACTTGTGATTTCTTTCAATTTCCATAAAGAACAAATATCAGAGGAGCTACATGTCTATCATGGCTATATGCACCAGTATGTAATCAAAGACTTAATGCATGAAAAGCATATATGTCCATGTGTACACTAGAAAATATTATCAGCAATGTAGTTACCTGTTTTGAAGCTACATTAAAATACAAAAGAGTTATGTTTTAAGCTATATCTATTCTTAATCATAGGCTCCTCCACTGAAGGAGCATTCTGTGCATCCCTAATAGAACCTAGTCCAGTACTTTGTTTTTAACTTAGTAAGCCTCCAAATATTAATGAAAATACTCTTTTATGTTGTATAAAAATATTCATTAACTGGCCCTTTAGAGAAGTTTGTTAACCCTGTTTTGCGGGGTTTTTTTTTTGTTTTTTTTTTTTAAGTAGGCTCCATTCCCAACAGCGGGGGGTTAAAATCACAACCCTGAGATCAAGAGTCACATGCTGTACCAACTGAGTCAGCCAGGCACCCCTGCTGACCCTGTTCTAGGCTATCATTTCATTCCCGTTACTACACACTACACCATAAATTAGTGAGAAAGTATCTTTATAAAAGCTTTAGAATCACTGACTTAGGCATAAATCCTGGCTTCTTCATTTTGTAGTCATGTAACTTTGGGCAAGTCATCTAAGCTCCCGAAGCTTCAATTTTCTCATGTTCAAAATGATATGATTTACCCCAATTATAATGAGATGTGAAGAAGTGAAATATACTCAAATATATTAACTTTATATGGGATGGTCACAATAAATTATGGCATTTATCATTATTAGTAGATATTGATATAAAAGTTCCTATATGGTATAGACCTTTAAACATATAATCTTTAATACACTGCCTTCTATTTAGTAGATCCTCAGTAATTATTTGTTGAATTTTAATTCATTTATATTTTTGAAGCAGGGTTTTACTTTAATGCAATTAAATGAAATGATGATCTACATTTATCAGATGTTTTTAAATCACAAAAATGATTCTATGATCTCATTTTCACCATACTGTTTAATTTCATCATGCCAAAATCCATTTTACACACATTTTACAAAGTGGTTCACTGATAATTATTTTAATGTCATTTCCTGTATTCAAACTTTCATAAAACTTTTCATGTGTCCAATAGGATCAAAAATTTTAAGGAATATGAACATTAAAAAACTGCAAACAGGCCTTTTAGTTAGTACACCAAAATGATAGGTATGCCAATTTATAATTTAAGCGTGATTATTTTAATATCTTTTTAACATGACTGCATAGGTCAGAAAGGAATCCTTTAAGAGTTACTCTAAATTTTTAACCAATCCCAGAAGAAAATCAGGAGTTAATAATAATTACATATAAGCCAATTAATTACTTGTATTCTTTTATCGACATAAATTAAATGAGAAAAAGTACCTTGCAAATTGGAACAATTTCCACAGAAAAAGTGCTTTTGTAATTGTATGTGTTACTATGGATATCCTGAGAGATCAGTCTCTGTGAGGCTTTGTGTCTGTTAAGAAAAAAAGTTTATAATAATAAAAAGACAAAGGTCCCTTCTTAGATAGTCTAGAGAATATCAATTTTTATCAAATCAAACCATCACTGTCCAAGGTTTGAAATAGCTCCCTGATGCCCGTATTATGACAAAGCCTAATTTCAACCACTTACACGTCAAAACCTTCACCAATCAAACTGCACTCTACCTCTTTTCAACTTTACCTACCCAAAACCTCTAAAACATGCCCTTGGCTCAGACCAATGTAGTCTATGTATATAGTCTAT